GGGGTGCGCAAAATTTTCAGACAATCTGGTTGAGGCTCACATGCAGGTCTAATACAGGAAAATAATAAGAAATTATGCTAAGTGATCAAATTTTTATGCATGGTGCATAAAACCACAGGGACAGAAATACACAGACAGAGCTCTCGGATGTAAAGTTGAACTTTCTTGCTTACTGTCATTTCCCCAGATGGTTGGTGACTTTATAGAAGAGAAGATCATCAGTCCCGCGTTCATCACAGAACATCCTGAGGTGATGAGTCCCCTGGCCAAGTGGTGAGTAGCTCCTCTTTGTGCAGTCTTTTGTTTTAGTCAACTTCCTTGTGAAAAGTGGCGATTATCGGACTGTCAGTTGGGTGGGTTTTTTACGGTCATATGATTATGAGCGCGTTGGCCTCATTTTCAGTTGGTAGGAAATTTTGAATTTTGCTCGGGTGGCGGCCAAAGCCTACTCTTATCGATTTTGGACCACCAAGGGATCTTTAACGTGCGCAACTTGCACACAAGACCTCCGAGATTTTTCATCCTTGTCCGAGAAGGCTAGGTGTAGATCTTTCCTTCCATAAGATCAGGGGTGTGGCTGAAAGACAGCTGTAAGGAGCCAAAATGTAGCAGTAGACAGGGTGACTACCAGGCCCTGAGAATTACCCATGAATTTGAAAAAAGATCACAGAGACCCGGGAATTTGAGGAAATCTGTAAATTGCCCCGGGAAAATACATGTGGAGTCCACTGAAAAAACGGGCATAGTCACAAACTGAAAATCATGAGGGTATCAATTTTAAACACCTGTTGACTCATAACTGTATTTCTGTTCAGCTGCTGGTTGATTATTGTTGTTAGATTTACCATCCAACAAACATATAAAATAAACCACCAATCAAACAAATATGAAGTTATGAGTCCACAAGCTTTTAAAATTGACACTTCACAATTTCCAGTTTGTGACTATGTCCGTTTTTTCAGTGGGCTCTTCACATATAAAAGCTCTCGAACATTTGAAAACCAAATGGGATAACGTCCTTTGGTTCATTTTTGTCGGCGGCGATTATGATATTCATTCAGCTTTTCCCGGTCTGAGAGTAATTTTCACCCAAACAGGCGCCTATGGCGGCAGGCGGAAGTGTATGTGTGATACCGAAGCTTGATCTACCTTCGCTTTCGTTACCACCGAGAAATTTGCCAGGAGCAGTCTTGATTAACGCAACATTTGTAACATGCAGGTTGTGCATTACAACGCTGTGTTGTCATGAAAAAAAATCATATTTGTCATGTGGTGTCACTTGCAGAAAAAAAAGTTATTCAAGCATCTTGTCGGGCTCTCCATTCCGACCGGTCTGTGAACCTGTGCGTTCGCATCACATTGTGAGTACCGGTGGTCGTTGGGGGTCACCAAAGTTCATTCGAAGTTTGAACGCTAGGTAGTATAGGGCTCCGGAATGGGGGGATTATTATTTTTTTTTTTAATACAGGGGGGGGTGAAGGCCACCGCTGAACTTGGAAGCAAATTTTAGCATTTAGAATTTTGATTACCACTAGAGCTCTCTGGAAAGCGCACATTGGTGCAGGCCTTGTGTGGAATCGGGAACAGTCATACTCATACCTTTTAAGCCGTGTTTTTAAATCATAGGGTTCCCGTTTCATTGAATGTGTGATAGAACGTTTGTTTCATATTGTCTTTGGTTTTTTGGGGGGGATTTTTTTTAGAGTGTCACCCTGAGAAGAAAGGCTGCAGAAAAAGCCAGGAGCCCTGAGGAGGGGGCAAATAAGATGTGGGGGTAGGGGAAGAAAGTGGAGAGGAAAACAGATGACAGAACATTGGTGGAGAGCAGAAAAAGAGGTGAAAGGAGACAATTGGAGAAGAAAAATTTCCATCACTATCCGGATTCGAACCTGGGACCTATTGAATGAGAGGCAAAGACTGTAACCTCCAGGCCACAAGAGCCCCCTTGTCAGCTGTGTCCAGTGAAATCTCAATATAATGTTCTTCCTTCAGACCTAAGATTTTGAACATTTTGTGTGTTTTTGTATTGCTCCTCACCGACTTGTTGATGCTGAAGAAAAATTATTAATTTTGAATGGGACTAATAATGAAAACGAAGCTGAAGATCTTTTGCTACATGTGGAAATAAGTTGAATTTACTGAACGCAGAAAGGTGTGTATGAAGGGTCAGGAGGGGCTTACCAGGCCAATGCCCACCTCATTTTTGGCAAGCTGTGTCGTTAAAGTCTTCTGGTTTTGAAAAGTTGGCAGCAGTGGGACAGTATTGTCCAGCTGACACAAATGTTTGCTGGTTCAGTTTCTAATTTCTCCATTATCTTCGTATTTTAATCCTTTATTTTTTCCCATGATTTCCAGTATTGGTATGCTTGTGGGTGGTTTGTGGGTGCTCTGGTGTGGTTTGCTCCATCTGTCCTATCAAACATCTATCGTCCTTATCTCTCCTCCTTTTTTGTGTTTGGTGCTCTCTTGTAACGCCTCTTATCTTCAGCATTTATATGACCTTATTGTGATGCGAGTTCTGTATAACTCTTAAACTACACTCGGTATTCATCATCATTGCCTTTCTAACCTTGGGTCTGGGTATTGGCCACAAACACTCTCCCCCTTTCCCTATCATGGGCTAGCCTCTTGATGTCATGTAATAACATGTCTTCCCCCTTTTCTGTACGTCGATTTCTGTGAGTCTTCTCCAGGTTCCATGTAGTCTTCCCTTAGATCATTTACCCTGTCGGTTCCAATCCAACACTCAATATTGGCATTAAGTAAATCACTGCTGCTGTTTGTTCCAGGCACAGAGACTGTCCCGGTCTCACGGAGAGACTCGAGTGTTTTGTTATGCGCAAAGAAATCATCAACGCCTACACGGAGTTGAACGACCCTGTGGTGCAGCGGGAAAGGTTCCAGCAGCAGGCCAAGGTGAGCTGTGGGGCTGGTCGCAACATGAGGGTTTGTGGGGAGCTGTGGGGATGGTCGCAATGTGAGGGTTTGTGGGGAGCTGTGGGGATGGTCGCAATGTGAGGGTTTGTGGGGATGGTGACAATGTGAGGGTTTGTGGGGATTGTGACAATGTGAGGGTTTGTGGTGAGCTGTGGGGATGGTTGCAAGAAGGAAAGAGGCTGTCTTACACAGTGCAATTTTAATGCGGGGGGAAAAAGCGCACTTTACCCCTTGCAATTATTTCTGTATTTTAACACTAGCCAAGACGTCTACCTGTGGATAACCACTTTTTTTCCTCCCCAATTGGTGGCTGTCTTGGACTATTTCGACTTGCTGTAAAGCGCCTAGAACATTCTGTAGAGCATGGATATACAACTATTATTATAGTATAGCCAGCAGTTCTCTCTTTTTTTCGAAACAGAACAAATCATGAACTCGTGGCAGGTGCTTACTTTAATGTGGTTTGCTCCTTCCTTCCTTTCAAATATCTATTGTACTCATCTCTCCTCCGTCTTTTCTTTTCATGTTACTGTCTAACAACACCTCTAATTTTTGGCACCTATGTGACCTATTTGTGTTGCAAGAGCCGTAGAACTCTTCCTTACTAAACTAACCAGAAGTGCTGATGAGATCTGTGTTGTTTGTCTCTCAGGACAAGGCGGCCGGGGACGATGAGGCTATGTTTGTGGACGAGAACTTCTGCACGGCGCTGGAGTACGCCCTGCCGCCCACTGGCGGGTTTGGGATGGGCATCGACAGACTCACCATGTTCCTCACCGACCAGAACAACATCAAGGTACGCCCTGTTTCTCTCTCTTGTTCCTGCAAAGTGTAAGACTCTGCCGTACGCCAATTTGTGAAGTGACGTACGATGGAGTCGTATACTACTAAGCAGTCAATTTGCAGGTTTGGCCTTGTTTCATGTGTTTATCATGATGATGATCCTCAGCTTTTCTCCCCCCTCCCTTGGGCTGGAGTATAGGCCACCACCAAGAAGAGCTCTCCATCTGCTTTTGTCCCAGGCTGTAGTCTCCACCTCCTGTATTGTATGCTTTGCGACCAAAATAGACATGCGGAGCTTAGACTGTGTGTTTCGTGAAAACCATCGCTAATACTACAAACGACTGTTATTTATATTGATCGAGTGCACGGTATACCCATTTCTACCCAGTGTCCTAGGCTATAGTCTCCATGTCTGTCCAGCTGTATCCCATGTCCTTTAGGTTGAAATCTAAGTTCCTCCACCAAGTACTTTTAGGCCTTTCTTTCTTTCTCTTTTCTTGTGGATTCCATCTTCATGGGTGGTGGGTATATAACACTGTTACTTCAGTAAAATGAAGATTACACATGACAATCTCTTCTGTTTGTCCCAGCAGACATTTAGTATACCATGATGAGTCATGATGAGTGCATCAACACTCACTGAATACAATATGTCACAACAAACTGTAGTCTTAATAGTCTCAGGCACTAAAACTTCAGATGACCGCAGTTGTGCAGGGGCTTGTTTTGAGCTCAGGAAACAGTCTCATGGCTACAGGGGTAAGACAAGTGTGGGGGCGATTCGCTGCCCTCTTAATATTTTTCATGAAATTTTGTCTCTGATGTAAACTTTTTTCTCTCTCTCTCTCTCTCTGCAGGAGGTTCTGTTTTTCCCAGCAATGCGACCGGAAGACAACCAGCCGCGGCAGGGTGGGGAGGAGGCGACGTCTGCCCCGGCCCCTGCCAAGTCATAGCACCGGGCCACGTCTGCCGGTTTTATTTTGTTTGTGTAGACTCACAAGTTGGGCTGGGCTGTTGCTGCCCACATCTTGCAAACTGTCTTGTCCGAGTGATGAGGTATACATGTTGTTATTTATTGAGAACGCTGGTGGTCCTATGGGGTTTCTATTTGCATAATTTTCTGTTTTATTTTTTGAGCTATCTAAAGAAATTAAAAGAGTTAATTGAAGTAGCCTAGTAGGCCTACAAAGGTTCGCACACAAAAGTTAGGACTGAGACCCGAGAAGGTGATTCCCCCC